GGGACTACTTATCCTATCAATATCTTCAAAATACAGAAATTAAGATAGTATGAGATTGGTGGGGGGTTTTTTGTTGTTTTTTGGTACTGGGAATCAAATTCAGGACCTTGCGCTTGCCAGGCAGGCTCTGTGCCACTGAGCTATATCCCTGGCAAGACTGATGTTTTTTGATAACCCACTTTTTCCTTAGGAAAAGAATATAAAGTCCACAAAGAGACTGTGTATTATCCAAGCACTATAGTGTAAGTCATTCCTATTCCAGTGATACATAATATCACATCTGTCAAACATCAGGTTTATAATATATCTACATATACACATACACATCGATTATACACACATCCCATGTTTCCTCATCCTGTAACTTGAATACCTTAGCTCAGAGTCTGAGCTCAGCCATGTAACTTGCTGTGACCAAACATGACATACAGAGGCTGATACAATGGGGCCAAATCTAGAACCCCCAAAGAATCAGTCCAGAATTCTGGTAAAACTGATATTGACCTCACCATATAAGTCTATATAAATTTTCACACATGTGCACCAAGGAGACATGCAAGAATGTTCAAAATTCACAGTTCATAGACTGAAAATGTAAAAATGATCTGGATGTCTGTTATAGTTTGAATGGGTTCCCCAAGAACACATGGTTGGAAACTTCATTCCTCGAGGCATAGGGCTGGGAGGTGGAGCCTACTGGGAAGTATCTAGGTCATGGGGCCAGCACCCTCATGAGAGGATTAGTGCTGTTCTCTCAGGAATGGCTTTGCTGTGTTGGCAGTTGGCTCCATTTTCTTTCTTCCTCAGCATCTGCTTGCTGTTTTGCCATGAGGCCCTCACCAGAAGTCAATGCTAGCACCATGCTCTTAGACTTCCTTGCCTCTAGAACCATGAGGCAAAATGTATTTCTTCCTTTATAAATTACCCAGTCTCAAGGATTCTGTTATAGCAACAGGAAATGGATTAAGGGCCAGGGATACAGCTCAGCGGCACAAGCACCTGCCTGGCAAGCACAAGGTCCTGAGTTCAATTCCCGGTACCAAAAAAAAAAAAGAAAATGGATTAAGACAAAGTTTATTACCTAAAAAATGGATAATGTGGGAATTATAAACATCAAATCCAAGATGGTTGTTACCTTTATGGAATAGGGAAGGAGAAGCAAAGCGGGAGGCTCACTGTATTTGTAATGTATTTCTTACACTACGGGTGGTAGTAGTGTATTAATCAGTGTATTATGCATGTGTATTAATCAGTGTTCCCTTCATGTTCAGAAACAGTTCATCAGTCTTAAATGTATGAAACAATAAATCACTGCTAAGCTCTGAAAAGGAACTCAAAGGTTATGATAAAGAAATAAGTTTATAGGCTTAAGTTCATCATGAAGATGCCTGAGCTGCACCCCAGCTCAAACCCACACTCTGGGAATCAGAGTGTCTTCCCCAGAGACAATTCTTTAACAAGGTAATAAGGTAAATTTAAAAAGCAAAGTACTAAAAGCAAATAAGATAAATTTTAAAAGTTAAAGCAAGGATTTAACTTGAGAATTTAACTAAAGAATTTAAAGTTAAAGCAAGGATTTAACTAAAGAATGCTAGTGGCTAAACAAACAAAAAAAATGAAAACAAAATATTTCAATATGGTGTCATGTTTCATATGTGATAGCGGCACCTGCTGAAGGTCACCCCCAAGTGTCCCACTACAATGAGAAATACTGTGTTATAATTTCTAAGCCATTTGAGATGAAGGTCTTACATTCTCATAGTACAACATGCAGTTGTCACTACTTCCTGTGCATTTTAAATACAGTAAACATCTTTGTCAGTGAAGTTTAGGGCCTATGTCAAACGATACCAAATTTGCTTTTAAAAGCCCCAAAAGTTCATAATGAGTGAAGCAAAAGTAAAAGAGGGAAATGTTCCTTCCTAGTTTTCTTTCCATATGCTTCCTGCTCCAGTCCTAAGACTCGCTGGCATTGACATGCAGAGTGAAGGTTAAGAGCCTGCCAGCGCAGGCCCTGGGCAGGAATCCAACCTTGCTCCAGGTTGGAGGGTACCTGGGAAAGCATGAGGAGTTTCTGTTACGGAACTATTGTTGAACTGACCCTGATGGGTCCATTAGAAAGCTGGCTTTCCCCGCCCCGCCTCATCTTGGCTCAAGCCTATCTTTGAGCTTTGGTACTTGCAGTCCAAAAGTATGAGAAGCAAACAAAATCAATTTAATCTGCTTTACTCAAAGAACTACTTTATTACTTTATGTCCTGCTCTGTCTCTGCTGACATTTCCTGCACTGCTGCATAGTGTTAAGTGTGTCTTTTAAAAATTGTGTTCTACATAATTTCCTTGTAGTCCTCATTGCTGACTTTAGTGGGGGGCGGTTGAGACAGGGCTGTGCTATGTACCTCAAGCTGGCCTTGAACTCACTACATAGCCTAGGCTGGCCTCAAACTTCCATGATCCTCCTGCTTCAGCCTCCCAAATGCTGGAATTACAGGTGTGCATGACTTTTTGTTTTTAATACATATTTAGTTTCAATTTTCATTTATTTCAGCCAATTTCATTATCAGCTATTCTATAAAATAACCCTAATTCATTTCCTCATTTGATAACTAAACACTTCACATTTTGATAAAATATGTTTGGGAGACTATTTCTCACAGGTTCACATTGTGTTATACTGTAAAATAATCAAAGTTCTTACTGTCCCTGTTGGGTTGCTGAAGTTAAAATGTATTATCACCATTTGGGGGTATAAGGATGTCTGCAGGAGCTTCAATCTTCTGAGAGCGTATTTTTCCAGGCACTGTATTTTCAACTCTTACTAAATTATCTGGTTGCCTGTGTATTCTCTTCTCCCAGATGGAAGAAACTTGCCAGATAGCTCCTTCTCATAACCTCAGATCTAGAACCCCCAAAGAATCAGTCTGCAGACTCTGATGACTGTCGCTGCAGCTGTTTCTAATACTTCAGTCTTTTCTTTAAAAAAAAAAAAAAAAAAGTTAAATTTTAAAACAGAGCTGTGGAGGACCACCACCTGGGCAACTCTCCCTGAAAGAGAAACAACTGTCGCCATTTTGGCTGAGCCCTATTTCCATCTACTGATGTGTGCAGAGCTGGCTAGGACTTTTCCTTATCCCTTCAGTTGGCTTTACCCAGTACAAATCAGTCCAGCCTAAGGTGCTGATACATAGTCTCTGAAACAAGACGGCAGGGCAGTGTTTTTTTCCTTGTCCCCTGTAGCTCCCAAATAAAATATGTGTGAGCCTCAAGATAAGAGGCTATGACTTCCCAGGGCATGAAAGACTGCATATCAGACTGAAACACCTACCCTAGAACATCACATACTACCTCAATGGGTCAGGCAGATTATTCTTTCTGCGTATCTTTCTCTCTGCATATTGTAGAGATGATTTTTGGGCCTCCTACCTAGCCCAGCTCACCTACTTCCTGCTATCCTCAAGCCGCTCCTCTCTTCATGAATTAATAAAACTCAGGTTCAGTCCTGGGTCGGGGCTGTTGTTCCAGCTAGCCATCACTGTAACTGGACTTAGGACCCCTGGGCTCCCCATAACTACAGACATGCCTTAGTGTCTTTATTGTCACCTTGGATTTCACTGGAAATGGTAGGCTAGAATTAACTCACTAGAATTTCAAGAACTTCTCCATGGGATTACAAATACAAACTTCCTGGGCTGTGAGGAGGAACAGGAAGGGCTATTTATAAAAGCCAATAAATAAACAAAAACAAAATTCCATGCCTACTGCCAACAAAAATAATAAAAAATGTGGTAATGCTTACAAAGTCCACACAAAGGACCCAGGATAAATTACAGATCCTAGGGTCTTTTAACTACAATTGAGTTGAAACTTGCTCCACTGTCCTGTTAATCCTAGAGATAGGACTCACGTCACTTCTGCTAACCATCAGAGGCCATGAACAGTGGAATGTGTACCCTGAATTGAAAGATGTAAAGGTGAAAGCACAAACAATCCTAACAACTTTACTCTGTGCTAAACAGCAGAATCTAGCAATTTAGGATTTATTCTTTTACCAAACCACCTAATCTGAACTCCAGGGAGTTATGCCTATGCAGAGTTCAGTTTTCATTGTAATTCATACTGAGTAGTTTTATCAGTGATGTGTGTGTGTGTGTGTGTGTGTGTGTGTGTGTGTGTGTACTAGGAACTGAAGCCAAGGTCTTTGCACTGAGCTACATCCCCAGACCTTGTTTAATTTTTTATTTTTCGAGATACAGTCTCGCTAAGTTACTAAATTGTCCCAAGTGGGCTAGAACTTGCCATCTTCCTGTCTCAGCCTCTCAGAGTGCTGGGATTAAAGGTGTGCACCACCTATCAATGATTCTGTTAACACGGTACTAGCTACAAGTTCCCATGAATTGACTACTTATCTGTGTGTGCGGCCAAGGTCGAACAGGTTCAGCCTGGAACCTGTAAATCCAAATTACAACAGTGTTATCCTGGTAATAAGCAATCAAACATTTAATTATTAACTCATGCCTCTAGCATGAGTACAAAGCTAGCGGTCCTCAAATTGTTGGTAAAACAGGTAACAGTTTTAAGAACATATTAAGTGCCTAACTCGTCCTAAGATGTTGATTGAGAAGATCTGAGGGAGGTTCCAAGGAACTATACTTCGAAAAAGCTTTCCAAGAGGCTCTGATGCAATGACAGTAGAGACTATCAGGGCAAGTACTGACAGAAACAGTACCACATGCGGAGCAGAGTGAAATCTGTTTCTCAGAGGCAGCAGGCACTGTGCCAAGGACTGTTCAAAGTACAGAGAGTGTTTTACATCTTTCTGGTGTGTCAATTTTACTTGATGGGTAAGCAGTTTAAAATGTCATTTTTACTTTGGGTGGTAGTACATAACTGTGAAAACCTACCTGACATTGACGATCTGTGTATTTGTTTATTATACTCGAATGTTATTTTTAATATTCAAATACGGATACATTTTGTAGTAAATGCAAAATCTTCACTTACTTTTTAGATGAACTCTGAGACTTCAAAGATATCTCCCTCTTAGATGTCTCCTAAGGCCAATGACGTGACCATTTTACTCTGCTTATAGTGGGGAGGAAGGTTGAAATACAGAAAGGAAGACTTTTTGGAAGGGCTCAGAACTAGAGTCTGAAAATCTCTGGGTTTAGAAATCCTTTCACGTCCAAGCTTCTTACTCATTTCGCCACCCCTGACCTGCTCCCCATCTTCTTATCTGTCTTCTATCACTGGTCTTTTTGCTTAACAAAACTTCAAATCCTCAAAAACTTAAAAGTTCCTTTGATACGACTGGAGGTTTTTTTTTTCAACTTTTGGTGGCATGAATTTTTTAGGCGGATTGCTTATTAATGTTTACATTTGTTACCCAGGAGGTGGTCTAATGACTTAAGCACAGCGTCAGAAATCACACGCTACAACCTTCCTCACCAAAACTGTTTTAAAACGCTCTTAGGTGCAGGGCGTAGTTGTAGGTGAGGACTGACTAGAACAAGTTGGGCGGGGGGCGGAAAGCCGCATTTCCTTGCTTTGGAAAAATAGGGCTGGAGAGTAATGCGGGTTAGCAGCAAGGGCTGGCCATCGTGGCCGAGGGGCCCAAAGATAGGTAGGGTACAGGATTAGAGTCTGAAGCAGGGTCTGCGTCCAAGGACTCTGGGCAAATAATCTCTTGCTTGGAGGCTGGGGGTCATCTATAAAATGAGGGTAAAGAGTGTGCCTCTGAAATACACTTAGGTAACGTGCTTTACTGTGGTTTATGGCGTATAAGCCCACAATATTATGAAACGAGAAGCCATACCTCCCTGAAAACACGGACCGCCTAACTCTACTTTACGAATCCTCCAGCCCACCCAACAGCATCCTTTACCGTCCCAGAGGTGGGCGGAACCGGAAATCCGTGCCTTCGCCACGCCCCTTTCCTCACGGATTCAGCCCGCCTCTAGCCCCCGGTAGGCGCATGCGCTAGTAGTCCTTGGCGATGCCGAAGGGCGTGAAGGATACAGTACTGATGGGCCTCGGGGATCGGCTTCCTACCTGCTCTGCACAGGCCGCGTCCCTCTGTTAATTTCTCCCCTTGACACTTTGAACTCGTGCAGAGAGGAACCAGGCCGAGGGCGCACTCCGACCGATCGGAGAAAGGGCGTGTCCACAGTCTCAGAGCGAGCCGACCGGTTTAAGCCCCGCCCTCTCCTCCCGTTACTTAAAGCGATTGGCTGGCCCTCTCTCAGGGGCGCGGCGTACTGCGGTTTTTGAGATGTTTTTCCTGGGTGACTGTCGCTTGGCTGTCAACTGCGGCAGGACCTAGAACTTTTAGGTGGAAAATGCCGGAAAGTAACTTTGCGCAGAGCAGGTCAGAAGCGAGGAGGCGGTGTCTGATGCTAAAGTCCACGCCCAGACCCTGAAAGTGCCAGTAGAAAGTATCTTTCTGGAGGGAAAGACTCCTACGGTGGCCGGCGGGGGCCGAGGCGTTGTCTTGGAGACAAAAAGCGTGAAGAGCGTGGGATTCTGGGCAGTTCCTTTTCCTTTTGGCGCTCAAGCGAGGGTAGGATGTGGAGATCGGTGAGGAGTCGGGCGTTTTATTCTCCTCTCTTGAACTCCCAGGATGTTCTGTACATATTTGGGTTTGTAGGCATCCCAGTGACCGAAATCACCCTTGCCACCCAGGAGCTGGGCATCAGGTACAACTGGAGGAAGAACGAGCAAGCAGTTAGTGGACGCAGGTAGCTGAGGGCACTTGGGGAGTGATGGATAATAGCGGCAGCTATGCACTGGAAGCACTCAGCCGTTATCACTGTTGTAGTGTTATGTATAAATCAGTCACTACCGATTATTTTAACTGTTGTTAGTCCTAGTTGACTGACAGGTAAAAAAATGACATGCAGAGAGATTAAGTAAAACTTGTCCGAAGTGATTCAGTTGGTAGTAATAGAGCCAGATTTTGAACTCACGTATTCTGGGTCCCAGTCCTTGTTCATACTATTGTATTGTGCTTTGCCAAATCTAATGACAAAATTGTAAAGGACAATTTCTGTTTTGTTTGTTTTTTGTTTTTTTGAGACAGGGTCTCACTTTGTAGTGCAGGCTGGCCTTGAACGCACTAGGTAGCCCAGGCTGACCTCAAACTCCTGCCTCAGCCTCCTAAGTGCTGGGATTACAAGCGCTAGCCACCACGCCCCGCTCTGGAAGAGACAATTTCTGAGTGAAGGCTGACTTCCTATTATGCTGTGAGCTTCAAAAAGGCAAAGTTTGTTTGTTTGTTGGTGGGGGTAGGTGGCACTGGGGATTGAACCCTGGGTCTTCACGCTGAGCTACATCCCCAGCCCTTATTTTTCATTTTTATTTTGAGACATTGAGTCACTGTGTTGCCGAGGCAGTCCTCAAATCTGTGTTCCCTCTGCTTCAGCCTCCCAAATTACGGTGATTACAGGTGTACGTCTGCATGCTGGTTTGGGATACTATTTGTTCGCTACACATTTGTATTGCCGGTGCCTGGTGTGTTCCTGCATGTGATAAATGCCTAGGAAGTAGCTGTGGGATACACAAGGGCAGACAAGGTCTCATAGTACAGAACAGAGGAGGGGAAAGGTGAAAGTTAGCACAGATGGTAAATTCAGCAGTGTCCCAAATCCTAGACGTGTGTGTGTGTGTGTGCGTGTGTGTGTGTGTGTGTGTTTCAGCCACAGTATGGCTCCGCCTTTCTTGGAGGCTTATTTAGAATCAAGAAAAGGAAAATACAACATTTTGCCAAACCACACTCAGTGATTCCTCTGCCAACCCAGCCTCACCCTTCTCTTAACAATGCTGCTTTAAAAGATCAAGATTCTACTTTTGTAGAGGTCACATACTGTCTGTCCAGCCGGGGCTAAGTATTCCTCCTGTCTCCGCTGTTGCCCTCTACTTTAGACTTTTGCCAGTTCTTGTCCAGACAGTTTCCTTTGCCTTTCCTTTGTGAATAGAGAGGAGAAATTGTGGCTCCTTTGTTATCATATTCCTGCAGTACCTGGTCTGATTGGGGCTTTTGCATTATATAGAAACTTACATATTATTAATTGAATGGCCTGAACCATATATAAGATTTGAGATTTTTAAAATCTTAAAACAAGCAGGTCTTGAATTTGTGTTGGTTTTACCTTCTAGAATATTTATTTAATGGTGCTGGGGATTGAACCCAGAGCCTCATGCGTGCTAGGCAAATGCTGTCCCACTGAGTTATACCTGCAACCCTACCTTTTGCTTTTCTTAATTGCAACAACTTCTATTTGTTTTCTTGTGTAGGAAGATAAAGGTATTGAATTATTAGCAGTACCTATGTTTCACTGTCTTTCTGCAGATGGTATGTCTGCCTCTACTTCTTCATACAGCAGACATTTGTTGACTATGTACTGTATGCTAGAAACTGTACTACATAACCGATGGAAGAGAAGGGCATAAAGGAGAGGTTTAATCTTCACCTTCAAGTTGATATAGTCCAGGAAGGTGAGGGCAAGGCATATAGAAAAACTTATCTAGTACAGTAACTCTCACAGTGGATATACACATGAGGAATAGTAGAAGCACAGAGTGAGTGATGGTTCTCTTTGATGGGACAGGAAAGATTGTCTGTAGAGGTAATATTTGTTCATGTCATATCAAGATGTTTTGAAGATGTGGTGGCTATGAGACTGGATAGGTAGACCAAGGAGGGGTTGTGGAGAATCTCCTTTAGTTAGAAAAGGAATCTGGACTTTTTTTTTAAACAGTGGGCAATGGGAGATACTTTAAACTGCTTTTCTAAACAACTAGGAGACATAATTAGGATTTTACTTTAAAAAATGATATTCATGGTAGTATAAAGTATGAACCAACAGGGCTTAATACATCTCAGTAGTTGAGCATTTGTTTATGATGCATAAGGCCCTGAACCAGCAGAGTAGGAGCCAGAAGACAGAATCCAGCTTCAAGTTTTATTTCAGTTCCTACAAGCTTAGCTGGGGACTCTTTAGGCCCCAGGTGTGATGTTGGACAGTGGATAAGAAATAGATGATAGTTCCTGTCTTTGAAGGGCTTATTACTTAGTGATAGAGACAGATACAAACAATTTTATTATGTGATAAGGGCAGTTATAGTGATATATCCAAGGTGCTGTGGAAACCCAGAGAAGAAATACCCCACTCAGTTTAAGACTTCAGAGAAAGTTTCCCATGAAAGATGATGTCTGAGAGGTCTCCTCCCCTTCCTCCTCCTCCTTTTTTCTTCTCCTCCTCCTCCTTCTTTTTCTTCTTTCCCTTCTCCTCTTCCTCCTGCTCCTCCTCCTTTGATGGGACAGGAAAGATTGTCCTTCTTCTCCGCCGCTGCCTCCTTCTCTTTCTCCTTCTTCTTTTGTGGTACTAGGGATTGAACCCAGGGCCTTTGCACTGAGCTATATTGCCAGCTCTTTTTATTTTTCATTTTGAGACAGGATCTCACTAAGTCACTAAGTTGCCCAAGGTGGATTTAAACTTTCGATCCTCCTGTCTTAATCTTCCAGAGTGTTGGGATTACAGACTTCTGCCACCGCTATGTGAGCTGTCGTAAGTATGAATAGGCATTAGCCAGCCGGGAAGGAGAGGGCAAGCTCTTCTGGAGATGACTGCTAGTTTGGGGGCTTGTTTGATTGTGAATTTTAGTGCCCCTGACTCATGGCGAGACTATGGAGGGTAGAGCCAGTTTGGAAGGGAAAGGTGATGAGTTCAATTTTGAATATATGACTTGAGGTGCTGGTGGGACACCCAGCACGTATGTTCCTCAGGCAAGCAGAGTCGTGGTGGTAGTCAAAAGACTTACTGTAGTGTCTGAACTATGGGTAGTGACAGGATGATTTAGAGGGACTGTGGAAACAGAGGCATTCAGGAACATTTTTGTGCAAATGAGAGAGGTATAGTTGAGTGTGACTTGACTGCCTGCTATCAGATCCTTGGACTAGTGAAAACATGTCAGCATGTTGGTCAGCAAGTAGGCAGATTTTCAGAAAGGTAACTGTTAGTGAAGTTTCCTGGCTGCAGGTACTATTCTGAGTATTTTACATTTATTAACTGAGTTGATCCTCACAGCACTGCTCTGAATTACATTCATTTTATAGCTGAAGAAGTCAGTGTACAAAATTACATAGGAGAGCTGGACTCTGAATCAAAGCAGTTTTGGCTCTAGCGTCTGATCTTTTAAGTACTACATCTACTATTTTGTGTGTGAGTGGAGGTAATTTGTTTTTTGTTTGTTTGTTTGTTTTTTCTCCGGTACCGGGAACCGAACTCACGACCTTGCGCTTGCCAGGCAGGCGCTTTTGCCGCTGAGCTAAATCCCCAGCCCCGAGTGGAGGTAATTTGTATACAGGTTTTTTTTACAATTATAAAGCCACTTACCTCTCAACTTTTGATAACTGCCAGTGAGGTATAATTTTTCTTATGTGTTGTTTGATATCTTGCATTGTATAACAACATTTCCCACCCTGTCCTATGATAAGTGGGCAGTGATTTTCAATATGTGAGTAAATGTTCTTATTGTAGCAGGTATTTTATTTTATGCACTTGCATTTCTTAGGCATTGTCTCATTTCCCTGTGTTAATTTGGCCTTATGTGCAGAAGAGAATAGGTCCAGCAGAGATTAGCAACACAGAAAAAGAGCAAGAGCCTTTGTGCAACTTTTTTTGGCATATGGTAGTGGTGTGAATTAAGATTATGATTCATACACATTTTTGTTAAATTTATGTCCCTAGTATGGATTTATTTAAATTCAATATACTATTTTATTTAAAGCTGAATGGATGCTAGAAATACCCAATTTATTTTTATTTCTAAAGATACGAGTAATAATACTAGAAAAATAATGTCCTGGACTAAAAAGAATTTGAGAACACACTTCACATTTTCCAGAGTACTTCATATTTAATTTAGTGTCTCTTCTCTCTTCCTAATTATGAGCTGAAGTATAGTTAAAAAGATAAAAACTAATCATGCATAGGCCATAAAGGAAATTTAAACAAATTGCCAAGGATTGGCAATATCAGTAAATATGTGTAACCTAGTCTGATCAATAATAAAAAAGGAGAAATATAGATCATCAATATCAGGAATTTAAAAAGGAGATATCACTACAGACCCTAATTAACCAGTGAGTTGAAAAGTAAATCACAATGAAAGATAAAAAATATTTTTAATTGAATGATGATGAAAAGATGAAATAGCAGACTTGTAGGATGTAGCTAAAGCAGTTTTTAGAGGGAATAGCCTTAAGTGAGTCTGTTTAGTAAAGGAGATTTTTAAAAAGTACTTAGCTTATATTTCAGGATGCTAGAAAAAGGAAAGCAAAGCAAAGTCAAAATTAAAGAAGCAAGATAATATAAGAGCAAAAATCAAAGCAGTAGAAAATGACTAAAAGAAAACAGGTTGGTCATAGTGGCACACACCTGTAATCCCAGCACTCCAAAAGACTGAGGCAGGAAGATCACAAGTTCAAGTCCAGCCCAGGAAACTTATTGATAACAGGGAAACCCTCTTGCAAAACAGAAAAATGGCTAAGGGTGTAGGTCAATGCAAAGGCCTGGGGTTCAGTCCTGTGGTGGATTAACTAATGATGAACTTGTAACACCCAGCTGAACTGAATCAGTGTGGTTCTGGATGTGGAAGGCCCACTTGAAGATTGTTGCCAACAGCTTAAAAGGAGAACTGGAGGGGAAGATGGTGTGCTGTTGATTCTCTTGGAGAG